CGTCCGCCTGAAACATCAGCCAGCGAGCGGTTGCTTGAAACTGGTCGCACTTCAATCGCGTCTGTCCCTCGGTGACTGACACTCTCTCGTGCGACTCCTACGACTTGCAAATGTGAACGTGCCTGTAATGTCTTCGCTTTCAAAATAGTTACCAAAAAAAAAAAAAAAAAGCGTGCTGAAAATAATCTATAAACACCACCTTGAAACAAAAAAAAAAACAAAAAAACATGCAGCATACTGTTTCCACGTTTTCGGTAAATACCTGTAGACTCAGAAAATTAACCATCGATATTTGTTGTATCAAAATCGAGAACGAAGCGCAAAAACCTTAAGGAAAGAAAGCTATAAAAAAAAAAAAAACTTTCCGGAAAAAAGAAAAGGTCATCTACACCTTTATTTTGTTTTAAACGAGAACACCGCTCACGCTGAAGTTACTGTCCGCGAAGCTGCTTTTTTCTTCGAAACCACCCGGACATTTTCAGAGTAATTGGGTCATGCGTCCGCCGGAAATTGAAACCCCAGAACACCAAAGCTGTGAAAAAAAAAAAAAAGAATATATATATATATATAATAAACCCCGCGAACACTGAACTCCACCCGTACGCCACCGACAGCTTAATATACATACGGTGGGGCAAGTTACGCTGCACACTTCTTACGACACGATTTGCTCCCTGGCGCTATTACCATGCATAGCCTGGGGAGCGATAAGTTTGTGACCTACACGCACGACGTGGTAGGAACGAAAATCAGAAGTCGGTATGCAGAATACAGAGGTATAGAGGTTCCTAATTTTGATTATAAATTAATTTTTTTTTTGTCGTGACATTGGGGAGTTTTGCATTGGCCTAAACTGCTCGTAAAGAGGCTCCAGTTGCTGACTGTTGGTTATTTCCCTCGTGATGGAACGTTATTTCCTCAGTGCGTTTGTCTCGACCTTCGAAAATTTGCGGGTTGTGTTCCACTACGGTGCCGAGTACGCGTGCTGGATTTGTATGTTTTTATTTGTTTTTTTCTTTCTCGTCCTATCCCGCCCATGTATCAAAAAGTGGTCCCAATCAGCGGCAACAAATGATGTCACAAAAGCCGGTGTTCTATGTTGTTGGATGTGGTGATCCTGGGGGGGTGGTTGTTGCTCGAAGTGCAGGGAACGCGAGTGTTGTTACCCTCGCCGCGTCCCAACTCTCGACTGAAGAAACTTTTGTGGACGGCCAGGTCGGACGGGGACCTGCAGCAGATCAGGATTCTGCCGCATCCACCCCTGCTGCTGTGTCACCGCCCGGATCGTGACTGGAGACCACATGATGCTTCTACGACGTCTTCAAGTAAGAGGGACCAAACTTCGTGACGCGGTGAACACACCAGATGGAGACACGTTACGCAGGCCCCGTAGTTTTAGCGCTCGGAACTCAATTTTGCGGTGTCTATGCCGTGTTTGGGTCTCAGAAAATAAAGACTAGCTCCATTGAAAATAACAATGAAAAACATTTACAAATCTCTGTAATGCGAAATTAGAGCGCAGCTCTTGAGGAGGAGGAGGGGAGGGTAGGATCCTTCTCCTCCTTTGTACCCTCTCCTCCTCCCCTCTTCCCCCCCGCCTCCTCCTCTCCCCCTCCTTCATACCCTCCCCTCCTCCTACAGTTCCCCGCTAAATTTAACTGAAAAATTGACTGCACGGGACCAGTTCAAAGTCAAATTTGGGAGTTTTACGTGCCAAACCAACGAAGGGCATCTGGCACGCCCCAACGGAAGACTCAGGATTAATTTCGACCACCTGGGGGGATCTTTTGACGTGCAACGTCAAAAGATCCTCTCAGGTGGTCGAAATAACACGGCGTCTTCTCCGCAATAAGCCTCCGTCAGATTCCGCGCACCTCGGCCGAGATTCGAACCCGCCACATGGAAATCCGGGGGCCGGCGCTCTCGCCTCGGAGCCACCGAGGCGGCTAAACATCAATTCAGCTTCCCCTTAAATTTAGCGGGGTAAAAGACGTAACATAACTTGGTGTCACGTCACCTATGAACAAATTCAGTTTCTCCGCTAGATTTAGCGGAAAAATTGACGTCACGTGACCTCAACTCCAATTTAATTCCCCGCTAAATTTAGCGGGGAATGGAATTGTGTCACGTGATTACAATTGCCCGCTAAATCTAACAGAGAAACTGAATTTCTCGCTGAATCTAGCGGAGAAACTGAATTTGTCAGCTAAATCTAACGGAAAAACGGAATTTCTCCGCTAAATTTAGCGGGGAATTGAATTGGTGTTGACTGTTGAGGTCACGTGACGTCAAGTCTTCTGTTAAATTTAGCCCGGTTACGCCGACACTGACGTCGCGAAACCTGTGAACGGGAGCTTAATGGCTGCGCTCTAAAAAAGTGTGACAGGATCAACCTTTTCAGTGTCATCAACTTTGATATCCTTATGACTGTTTTATGAATATATGTGAAAAAGGAACTGGTTCCAGTTACAGGTAAAAAAATGGAACGTATCGTTACATATACGTTACATTTGTATTTTGCTGATTACAAAACTTTAATAGATCGAGGAAAGTTTTTTTTTAAGTCTTTCTCTTTAAAGGGGAACATGCGATTTTGAATGAGTTTTTTTTTAGGGAGCCAGGAGAAGAAAACAAGAGGAATCAGGGTTTCATTTGTTAATACATTCACCTTTCAAAATCTCAGCTTTGAGCTTTATACATGTTTGTATAATATACTGTTACCACACATTGCACGAGCGTTTGACAACAACCTCACACGTTTCAATCTAAGAAAGTCCCTTATTCGAACCTAACGGCAGTTGCTTCTCGGTGTTGCTGTCCGCAACACGAGCAAGTGAAGAAGAGGGTAGGGCTTTTGGAAGATCAGTCTTGAAAACCACAAGTCCTTCTTCGTGAGGGTCAGATTCGTTGTTCAGCTTGAAATTTGCGTACAAGGGGTGAAGTAATAAAGGTAATTTTTGTGTTTCTTCTAAGTGACCGTCGTTCATGACACACGACGGGTGTGTTCGATGTCTGGTAACTTGTTTTCTGGCAACTGTAGGTCTCTTTGTGGAAGTTCACTGATGCTGTAGTCGGCCTTAGATTTCTGGGTGTATGAGGATTCATCTAAGCAGATAACGTAGCTGAGTTTGAAACGTCCATCTTTCTGTGTCTTTTCCATCGACTAAAAGTTTTGCTTTTTGTACCGCAGTCTCGGGCACTGAAAAAATATTCGATGTCCACTGGCTCTCCCGCACCCGGGTGCTACTCAGGGAGGACCACACAAAACAAACCTTAAGATAAGTAAACAAAATGTTAACGAGATCCTGCTCTTCGTAAAGATATGGTTTTTGTACTTTTAGGAGTTCCCTCTTAGAAATAAAACAAAAATTACCCCGCTGGACAAAAAAAAAAGAAAAAGGAAAGCCGTTCCTTTTTCCGTTCCAGTAAAAATGCAACGAGTTCCCGTTCCAGTTCCGCCGATGCAAAATGGAACGGCGGCATTCCTTCGTTCCTCCTAAAAGGAACGCGTTTCAGGAACGCCGTTCTTGGAACGCCGCTCCGTACAACACTAATCTGTACCGACCATATGGAGCGAGTTCGTTTGCTGACAACTTCCACTAGCAGACATAGGCGCAACATTGCGAGCTGACTCGATAGGTAAGATGATACTCCGTCTCGGTTTGCCCGGAGTTGCCGAGCGATTGAGCACATTGTTACACAGACGAAGCTTGATAGACCTTCATTCACGCACACTCCTGGTCTGTTTACATTTGTGAATTCCCGGGCGGCGGATTTTGGAGCGGCGGGGTGGAGATTTACACTCGTCATTGGCAAAAAATCTGGATCGGTCAGCGACCCGTGTCCAAATTTTTTCCCCCGCCGCAAATTCACAAGTGTAAACGTACCATTAGGGCTATGTCTGCATCACATTTCAAACAATACAGGTTTCGTTTCATGACCTGGAAGGCCTGCGGCGAGAATGAAGGCAGTAAATGCCATTGACATACGTTGCCGTAATAGAACACTTTTCATAACTGCGCGCTCCACCTAGTACCTGTAGCGCCCATTTATCCGTGTTCGCCGTTGTTTGAGGAGGTGATATGAGTCTGTAATGGACACGAGGGCTGCGCTCGCATTCGGCGTAAACTTGGCGCAGTTGGTATACAAACCGAATGCTGCATCACCTTCGGACCAAACTCGGGTCCAATCACGAGCTTTCAGCCCAGACAGGGCGACCCGCAAACTGGCTCGATGTAGTTTTTAAAAAGGTGTATTAAAACCTCCATTTTTATTAAAAAAATGAATTATTTATTAAACTTTTAAGGTATTGCGTATCTTTAAGTGAACTGCTTCTTGGCAAGGAAAACGAGGCGTTCTATAAGTGACAAAGAACAGCAAAATAAACTTGACACTATGGGGCTATCTTCATTTCAATATCGATATATAGCATTTCTGAAGTATTTGTGAGTAAATAAACCGGATGTGGAGATAGGTAACAGCTAAAAACACAACATCCGGGGCAGAACCGGGTTTCTCTCCTGGATGCTCATGTGCTTACAGTCCTCCACTCTGCCGTGTCGTTCAGCAGTGTCCATTTTCCGTAAGTCAATAAGTCCGTAAGTCCACCGAATTATGTTATTTTGCAATTTTGACAGTTGAATTTGACTAAATTTTTCTGCGCTGTGAGATTATAACTGTGATTAATTAAGCAGAGGCAATCATTTTAATCATAGTTTATTAGCCCGAACTCCGAGTACAAACGTTTTGACCCATATGATTTAAATGAATGTGTTAAAATACCGCATGAACGGTTTTCTACATTCAATACATCATAAAACAAGATCTCTATGAAGATGAAAGGGCCGCAACAAGGTGGTTATAAAGTTTGTATATAAAAATTGTGATACTGCATCGATGATGTTGTCACAGTGTTGAAGTCTCATTAACACGCACCAATGAAACGCAAAATAAACAATGAAGAAATGCAGGAATAAATAAATCGTTTAATTCGAAATTAGGACTACTTAAAACGAAGTGAAAGCAATTTGCATTGTTGCATTGTTTTAGACAGCCCTATGAACTGCGATAACTAAAAGTAAGGAATATATTTTCTCTGGCGTATCATGCAGAACATTTACATTTCATATTTGAGTGCCTGACGCTCATGAGTGTTTTTCCCCATGATACTAGTTTCATTCAATTCCAGAGAAATATAACTTTATTATCGCCGATTATACTAGGAATTCCTGAAAGGGAAGCTGCGGTGTTCACCTCGACTTGTCCACGGATTCCTACAACGGTCAGCTGCAAGTGTGGGAATCTTTAACCTTTTGATAGTAGTGTAGGTAGTCTAATACTGGGAAAATTCAACCTAACGAGAGTAAACAGGGAGCCTAACATTTTCATATGCAACCTCTTGAAAGTAGTTTAGGTTGCCTAACGTAATATCCTTATGTCTTTTTGAAGTGGTCTCCGTATTTTAAACGCTTTTTTTATTGTATGTTTTTGGCACTAGTATGTTCACGCACGCTTCAACAGGTTGTCGTGCAGTTCCAGCCACGTTCAAAATCCAGCTCCCTTGCCAGGCCCCGCCAGTCTTCTAGAAATTCTAGGAACTTGGTCACACAAGCAGTTTTTCGGGTGCTCCTTAGCCTCTTCTGGAGTTTGTCGATGAAGTTGGCCTCCAGGCTTGTGCCAAGTTGATACTGCATGAGAAATCAGGATTACACGTGACCTAAAAAATCCTCGAGCAATTACTCTCCGGCAAAGTACTCATGATGTCAAGTCACGTGACATTATGACGGTTCATGGCACAATGACGTCATCCGAGTTACAGTGGCACGTGACGCTGTGGCGGTTTTATATATGCACAAAACCCTCGCAACGTGCCCTTGAATGGTTCTTTTACCGTGCCAGCAAAAGGAGGACCCCGAAGTGGGCCTGTAAATGCTAAGCATCACCTTCTATCACAGTACGGTGGGCCAAAATTTGGTGTTTGCCTCGGAAATTGGTTAATTAAAAATCTCGGTGAAATCAAGGAAGTGCCAAACTTGACCTTCCTTGGCCACGGGCTGGGTATCTTGGCACTAATTCTCCAAACAAGTTAGGCTTCAGTGAAAGTAGGTTGTCTCTCATCTGGCATCTTTGGACCTAAACCGCCAAATAAGTGTCAGTGACAGACTTCCCTTCTGGTTGTTTCGTTTTCGTGCGGCAACTTTTGGTCTAAACTGTAAAACAAGCTCTAAATTTAGGCTTCACCGGTGGTTTTTTGCTTCATACGCGACATCTTTGGTTCAAGTCTGGCACTTTGGTAGTTACGTGGCGAGCCAGAAAAAAGCAATAGAAGCGCCAAAAGAAAAGTAATATGGCACTAACTTAACCTTTTGGAGCAAAGCCATATTAGGTGCAAGTTAGGCTCATACGATTGCCAAGCGTGCGCCAAGCTAGTCGTTTTGCTCGTGTCCTACCTGGGATTAGATCGCCTTTGGGAAATTCCAAAGAGACGGGCGATTATTTTACACGGTGTAATGACTGCTTGTGCTATTTACCTCCTTCATGGCCAAGAATGCAGCCCTGTAGGCGGGTCCCTTATCGGTTTTCACAAATACGTATCGACTCCCGTGCAGAAGGGCAGCCGTCTCTCCCCGACAAGAAGAATCGTGTTTGCAGTTGTCCGTGCGGTAGTTCCACCGACAGGAGAGCAAGTGCAGCTTCAATGGGTCGTTGTGAAAAGCGATATTCAGGAGGTCCTGGTCGGGTAAAATGAGATTTTTCTCGTGCTTTTTCATTAGGTCTTCTACTATGGACTCCAGCCGGTACTCCCGCATCCTCGTCAGGTTCATGGCCATCACACCGGAGTTGACACCTGTGGCAAATATGCGTGATTGCGTTGCAGCATTGCCGCTCTAGTCATCCAATATATCGTACATAGTGAGGTAGAATAGCACGAACACTAAGATAAGAAGAAGAAAAGGGGCAGGAAAAAGCGCTAACTCGCAACCCTTTCACCTCAGTATCTTGAGTGAATACCTACTTGCACAGCTCTCAACATTATTACTCTAACACAGCACTTGTTCCTAACCTCTTCAGATCTCACGTAAATTGTACATTGCTACCTTCAAACAATTGTGATTGCAGTTGAGTATATGATAAAATAAAATTAGGAAACATAATTACAACTGCAAGCCTTTTTTATATTAGGGTGTGCATTTTATGGCGAATTATCGTAAAAAATTGCATGTATTTATTCATTTATTTATTGATTCCTAATACATTTCTAGGTGGAGATTGTTTTTGTGGCGGGAAAAAACCTAGCACAGGCAAATAACATAACAAATAACAATGTCAGCAGGTAGAAGAGGATATACGTATAAAATTGCTTCAGCAAAACCTCGTTGTCGATTTTTAGAATATACTGGTAGTACTTTACCATTAACGATATCGCGGAACGCTCACATGCACCTCATAAGCCGCGAATGCACAAATATAGCATTTATGAATAATAATGAGAAAGTTCATGTGAGAAGTATCGTAGCCAGTCATTGTAACAAGGACACTTGGCAGTGAATTCCAGTCAACAAAGGAAAAAAATTAAATGGGCGCCATATAACATATTGGCGCGTGTTTAGCGGTAGCCCAGTGGGCACCGCGCCTGACTGTTACGCATTATCTGCCGGTCCAGGGTTTGAATCCTGGGACTGGCAGATGTTTTTATTTACTCCTAAGATAATGCTTCTAGAAAATGCGAAAAGATCGTGGTTAGTTCTAGAACAGAGTGGTCTAGTACGAAATGTTCGACTACAGAATGTTCTAGAAAGGAGGGTGCTATAAAAAGAGCTCCTCGTGGCGTTATATAGTCCGTTATCGCTTGCGCTCAACCCTGTTGTCTCGCCGACATTCAACGCCTCCGACGTGCTGTTATTTCCCTTTAATTTGGGCACAAGGTCACTCCATTAAAAATTTATTTTGTTCAGTTTTACATCGCCTCGTCACCTATTTTTCGTGACAATATTTAATTCTGTTATAACCCTTCAACATGTTTTGAATTGTTTGAAGTCACAAACAATGGGCAACCCAAGAAAATGCCCTAAAATTCATTAGGCTCATACAGTCAGTACGCAGGCGAGATGCTGGAAGTTCACCATAATGGTGAAAGTTAACCACTGAGGCAGAAAAAGGAACATGGACAGACAAAGTATCCACTATGCCCCTTTCCAGGACTTCCCTGCCTTCTACTCCAGTCTCGGGTTGAAGTCATCATGGAGCATCCGATTGGGCGCCATCACCATTTATGAGGTTAAATGGGGCGTCTCTAAGCCAAGCATACCCCCGTAAAGCTGTCCCCAGATCGTAACACAACCTCAATGTACACTATGATTATCTTTTGGCGTCAGCTTGGGGAACTCCCTCGTATTTCTATAACGTATTGAAAAGGAATGTGCATAATAATGTACGCGGCGTCTGACAGAGCTAGAATCTTATTTACAAATTGGCGCTTGAGTTTGAACGACCACTATTCAACCGCTTGTAATCGCTTACGCACTGACACACTGGCGCCGTCTATTAGGAATTTTTTAAACCCTTCCAATTTCTGCATAACTAAAATGAAGGTTCCTAACTATTTGCGAGATTATCAAATCTACGCGGTGTCAAAATTATTTCAAGCAAATGGTAAAAGAATGATGCGTACAATACACACAGATCGGAAATGTTCCAGGCCTACCCAAAGGCCCCACGTGGCGCCAGTGTATTCTCTCGTCGCAAATGGTTGATTGCGGTAGCACCGCAGTCGATCTCACTCAAGACAGAAGACTGTGAACTAGCCTTAACGGTGACGTTATCAAATTCTGGCGTATTTGGGTACAGCAATGAAAGAAACGATTTCGTCAAGATAAGACTAAAACAAGTGGTCACGGGAAAGAAATGTTACAGTAGAAACCCCTTCAGTTCTAAACTAAAGGGCCCCTGAAAAGAAAAAGAAAAAGAAAGTCCTTTTTAAAATTTCTGATTGGGACACGCGTGTAAAAAAAGTTAAGCAAAACAAAGATTTAGAGCAATATTGACAACGAGAGATTCATTTGAAATTCTTCACGCGAAGTCCATGACGTCACGGGTTATTTCGGAAAGACTATCTCGATCGTGAAGGCGAAGCCGATCCACCTCTTCTCCACGCGCCCGAAATGCCCAGAGAGAAAACAAGTGGAAAGTAGGTAACTGCCGACTAAATCGCGTCTCGCGCCGTCGATCCTGCTCTAAATTTTTTTTCGCTTAAAATTAATTTTATGATACGCGAGTCCCAATCAGACTCTTAAAAATGTTGCAAAAAAACATTTTGTTTCTTTTCAGGGGCCCTTTAACCTTCCGATCAGCATACAGATATAATTTTTCTCTAACCCGGTGTAGCCGTTATTCAACATAATAATGAAGTTTCTTCGTTACTTCTTTTTCGAACGATTTCCTTCTTGTGTTTTCTTTCGTCTATTAAAATAATGCATGTTATGTACCATCGCTCTGGTTGAAAGGGTGGCCTGACCCCATCAGGCGTTAAATATGCCTTTGGCTATGTCACCCAAGGCATTGCTGTAAACAAAATTGTCTCGAGTCAATGCAACAAGCAAACAAGTAAACAAAAAAAAAACATAGTTGCGGAAAGTAACGAAAAATGTCTAAGGTGGGCTTAAATGCTCCTGTTACGCGAAGGGTTTTTTTTTTCAGGTAGGAATAAGCCTCTGCAGGAAACTATAAGTATGCCGCACAAAATAATGACTGAGTGTCGTGTAACCTCAATTTTGTTTTTGTTGCTTTCGGAATGGAGTTAGCACGCGCGAGATTTGGCATACCTCTTTCTTATTTATGATAACCAAAAAAGCGTGCTTATTTCGCACAATGAATGTACTTGGAATGTTTGAAGCTCCTATCAAATCATCCGCATTTTGTTTCTTACAGAGGGGTACCTACAATGCTTGACGACAATGTGGGAACATTCATATTAAACAAGCTAACTTTCTGTAGGAGTACAAACAATTTGGTAAATTAACTGCAGTCCTTCTAATTGTACACCATTTCACGCCTTAAGGTTCGCATTTTGAACATTAGCTTTCAGTCGTACTTGTCCTGGTGCTTTTCTATCTCTAGTTTTCTGTAGAACTCTTGGCAACTGACAAATACAGACGTTCGCGTTCTATTTCTTTCTGAGAAAGAACCCAACTCCATGTCAGCCTATGAAATGCACGCAGTGGCAAAGTCTAAGCATCTTATGATTGCTACGCAGCCACTGATACTGCGGCAGTATTCATTAAGAACGCCAAATCTTTGACTCTAGGACTGTGAAACAAGACGTTCGTTCTCAAAAAAAAAAGTATAATGTTGTTTTATAAAAAAAAATATTGTTAATTATTTATTACATTCGGTGCTTTAGTGCCGTTGAAATCAGGGCACTCGTACCGAAATGTGGTAAGTGAAACAAAAGATTGAGGCCACCAATGGCTAAGTTCAGCTTCAATCTACCGAACAAAGACTCCATGCTGAGGCATTATGATTGACGGTCATAAATCATGCAACGCGAACCTACCATATGTCCCATAATAGGGTGTTCTTCCGTATTTCTGATACCAGTTGCCTTGCTCCTCGGTTTCGAACGACATTGCTGCAATCTGTGAGCTGTTCATTTCTCCAAAAATGTCCCACAAGTCCTCCGCCGGGCCGACGAACATGGTGTCCGCGTCAACGTATAGCACTGCGTCCTCGTCTGGCAACAAGCTCTGCGATACACAAAAGAAACGCTCGGTTAGTTTGTGTTAAAAATATATACGTAGATCGAACACTCATTTCGTACTAAAGATAAAAATTACACTTGAAGTATATTTTTCGGGATACTTCCAATATCTCAGCACACTTTTATCATATACTTTTAGTCTATTTGTTATTTTAGCTGTGCGGTTTGCACGTCGATATCGACTGGTAACGAAGGAGTACGTAATAAAAGTATATATTTAATATAATAATCGTAAACTAGAAAATAGCATTCGAATGTCTCTTTTCCCTAAAATTCATCACCATGTTTCTTACCTCAAAACACAAATGATAATTCCCCGATGCTTTATTTCAGCACGCCTTGATCATCCTCACAATAATGGTGTACCATTTTGTCACTCTAAAGTTTACTAGGCTTATTTTAATTCAAAAACTTCTAATGATTTGAACCGCTTACCTGCATCTCTTACATCAATTACTGACCACGCTCTTTTTGTACTTCTAGTGCCAACCTCATGTTCCCTATTTTTTTAGTTTTTTGTTCATTGTTCATTTTGTGTTGCTATTACTATTATTTCCAACTCTCCTCTGTAATGCCCTTGTGCCCTGAGAGTAAAATAAATAAATAAATAAATAAATAACTAAATAAGCCAGAGCACTACATATATCAAATTTTGTTTTCTGGTAGGCCGTTCGAGTTTTTTTTTTTTATATCGACTAACGAAGTATACAAAAAGTAGAAGCAACAACATTGAAGAAACTACAAATCTCAATTATCACAGCAGTTTGGAGTCATACATGTTCCTATAATGTATTTATGCAGATAATAAGAAAGAATTTTTTTTTCGGTAGTCAATGAAGTCTTTATTGGATGAGGAATTCGAACTTTGTTGTTTCCTTGTAAGTTTGTGGGGAGTGGCGGCTGATGGGGGTAATGGATTAGAAACATTTCGAAACTTTCACTGGCTGAATGTATTTCATAAACACGTGTTTTCTTTTATGAGCATAGGTAATCCGGTATGGTGTATCTACCCTTCAGGGTCAGATACCACTTGTTTGAATAGTAAGAGCGCCTGCCTTCCGGGGTCTTTTTATATTGAAAACCTGCGACAAGACTGTGGCATCACAGTCTGGTGCCTGGCAGAAGCATTTAGCATGAACATTGCCTGTAGCAGACGACCGTGGTTTCTAACAAAAGTCAGCGTACTTAAGCTCATCACTATACAAAACGTTCGGGCCACAGTCGGAGCCTAAAGGTTTTACGCAAGACCTCGAAATTAGGAAAACATCCCCTCCGCGCGCTGGTGCAAATAGCCGCGATGATCTCAAGCCAATTACTTCTACTCGATCTGTGCCAGTGAGTGAACAGCGTCCTGATAATAAATAGAGCGAGAAAGAAAAAAGAAAGATACTTATCATGTATATTTCATCATTGAATAAAAGGTTAAAAAGCCGAACAAACGGGGACAATAAATAAACACGGACGACAGGACGCTGTCGTCCTGTCGTCCGTGTTTCTTTATTGTCCCCATTTGTTCGCGCTTTTTAACCTTTTATTCAATCATGGACCAACTAGACCAAACCCAAGTTTTAATGTAATATATTTCATCACTTTGTGACACTCGTGAATGTCTTCCTGCAGTGATTTCCGGACCGTGAAACACACAAACGCTTCGTAAAGGGATGTTCGAGCTCAGATAAAGGGGGAAAAACATGGCGGTGTGGTGCAGTCGTCGCCGCTTACAATTTTGGGTGACATGATTAAATTCGAGTTTCGAGCAACTCCTGCGAGTCGCATGACGTGAGAAAACACTACAGAGCAAACTTTGAATATGGCTACGTTTTCGAATGTCAAGGTGCCAAACCTTGACGCCGGGTCGAGATCAAGAAACGCCGCCGCGACAAGGCGCAGACGGGGGCCAAAAGAGGCTGCATGGGTTAAGGTCTCAGCGAGCAGACGTAACGCGGACGCTGTCGCTTGTGTAGTTGCCAAGGCGGATTGCTGCGCCCTTTTATGTGTGGTACGCTACCAATAGTCAGTCAAAGCTGGCGAAACTCGTGGAGTGGCTAATTGTGTTCAGGCTTCTTGCCTTGTCATTCGTTCTTTAGGCGTCCTCATTGGCTCACACCACAATCTAATTGACCACGAAATAATAATGAAATACGCAAGACCATAGCCTCCTCTATACTCACAAAGCCTGGCAGTTCGACGACGGAACCATAGAGTGCCCGGTCACGGATTCGGAGCTCGAGGATCTGGTAGCACAGAGCATCAAAGAGCCATTCTTCGGGGAAGCTGGACATCAGCGCACAGCTTTTGCAGCGGCGAGGACCCAAAACACACTTGTTCGCTAGGGAGAAGTGTGCTTCGGCGTCTCGCCGCAGCGGGACGCCAGTCACCTGGCTCTTTTCTCATCCGTTGTCTGCTGCTCCACCTTTTCCATTTCGGCGGCCACTTCTCGTGGCGATCTGCTAGGCTTTGTCAGTATATACGAGGCTATGGCCGGACTCAGCGCCTCCTGTGTTTCTTGAAGGCTAAATTTTGGTACATTCTGATTTGCCTTACAATTTGTTCACTGGCATTAATAGATACAATTAGACTTGTTACCCAAATTGCCAGCCAAAATGTTTGCTATTTTAAATTTAGAGACTGGGGAAGGAAAAACCTGGGTATTCCAAAAATGTGCTTAGTTCGGATCGCATCAAAACGGTGCAATCTATCTAAATACTGGTTCACACATTTGCCTCGGCCGTGTTGCTTCGTGCAGCAGAGCGTCTCCCCATTGACTCGTCGTGTAAATGTTGTCAAAGCAACAGCTCGTCGCAAGCAGCATTAATGAGACGCAAGTGGTTGCAGTCGCATTCCAACGCAACTGTGTGAACAAGACCCAAATAACAAGAACCAGAATTGGTGCTTGTTACTCGCTGGTTTGCAGACCGGTAAACAATACGTTATTGCAGCGAAATAACGTTAAAACTTTCACAGGCCCGTTCTGCATTTTGTTTCGTGGCACTCTAGAATATATTCAGTACCGCGTAATTTGCAATACTTCTGGTGGGGACATCCATCTGTTTGCAAAGGAGTAGGATTTGCGTACAGGGAAGAAGAGCCGCTGCGAAGCACAAGGCCCGAAGAGTGCCTTCCACTTCTCCGGGTCTTTCACCGGGAACCGAGCCAGGCGCAGGTCATAGGTAAACCTCGTGTATACGCTGGTTGGCCACCGTGAAATCTGAGGGAAAAAAAAAAAAGAAATCACGAAAAGGCTACAGTAAATTATTTACAAGGATGCGTCTGTGCTCAAAACACATAAAAGAACCAACATATTTCTTGTTTTTATAAAATAAAAGAAACCAAAAGATTGTCACCGCGAGCCTGCTGGTCGGCACTATGAATACGAGCTTAGCCCGACTTTGCGCCGAACGCTGACGACACAGCCCTCGTGTCCGATGCAACGTTATAGTACGTGAACAATGCTCGACGACTTTGAGATTATATGTAGATGGCGCACGCTTATTACGGGTATGTATTAGGACATAGTAAGCTTAATAAATGCGCCCTCATTAGATGGTTTGGGTATGGGTGTTTGTATTTGCATATCTTGAAGCCCCAGTCACCTTGCTCTCCTACATCATAGCAAAGACACGGTGCAACCTGCAGACACGATGACATCATTATCTGCGGGCACGCGTCAAGCATCTTCCGAAACATGTTTGCTTCGTACATGGATGTATGCTTGGAGTATTTCTGCAGACACAGTTTTTGTACGCCCCATGCGGCAGGGCCGTTCTACAAGAGGAAGAAACGCCGAATCGGGCCTTGTCTACAAACTGTCTAAGCACGATGCACGAGCTGTGTCTCTTAGTCGTTGACTACAAGCGTTCTTGCTCGTGGCGAAGAAAGAAAGTATGTAGCATAGTATACCGTGCGACGACCTGCTGTATAATGCTAAGCAGCTGTACGCTCAGCAAAGAGCAGCTAGAAAAATGTACGATTATTCTATTTGTCACCTAAAAGAGCTTAAGAATTGCAGGGCGTGGCTTACGGCTCATGGAGCCCATTGAATTACGGCATTAGCCGCGAAGCTCGCGGCAGACCAGTCACGAAGGGGCATGAAGAGCGAACATAAGGAAGCAACGGCCGTGCGCTTCTCAAGCTCTCGGGGACTCTAACGAGTCGATTAGCGCACACACTGCTCAAAAACAGTCAGCGCGAAACAAGGGGACAAGTAAAAGACTAGATAGGAAGAGCGCTGCTACCAACTGATGATTTATTTAAAGTATAAAAAAAGACAAGGAAAAAGGTTAAAAATTAAAACTGAAAAAATACGATGAAAAATGTGAAAGCCTTTGGCGATTTGTGGACGTACTAAGCTGAGAGAGCAAGAGCTTTCCCTGAATGCTACCCGCCGGGACATCTCACCGCGCCTCGTTGTTTGATAACACAGAGATCCTAAGACGGCATGACGCTAAGAAAACGGGCCAAATATACGAAGCTCCGGCCGTTAATTGTAACGAAAGGAGATGCTGGCATCAGTGCTCCGTCGGTAACCTTATCAAAGCAGCTACTGACCCGCAATATTTTTTCTAAGCATTTTTTTTTTGTTTTATATATATTTCTAATTGCATTAGTCTCTTTATTTTTTATATTTAATATATTAAACAACCATCTATAAAAACTCCATCTTTAATTGGATCAGCTAAACTTCTAAATTTTCGCCATTTTATTTTCAGTTTTAGGTTTCAACTTTTCTTTCTTCTCTTTTCATCACCACGACATCTCAAAGTTTCGTTTGTCCTGCCCAGTTTTTTACTTGCGCTTGTCTTTCGCGCCAACTGTTTTTGTAGATGTCTAACCAACAATAGGCCATCAACTTATAATATGGCGTACACTGTCCTGAATCGACTGGATGTTCTTGGCGTCGGCAAAGACGAGCAGGCGCAGAGGGGCCCTGGAGAATGCGACCAGCGACTTGATGCTATTCACAGTCTCGACCAGTCGCCCCGAGCAGCTGACCAAGGCGACTGTCACGGGAGGCCTGAGTTAATGACAAATTGTATGTCAATTGTAATCGGGGCAGCAGGTACGAGTAAACTCAGCAAAAATGTGAACAACCCTAATGGCTCCATAGCATGGGACGAAGAAAGGCTTCTCAAACTTTATAGTCACTGAAACTTAAGAAACGCAGGTCGTGGCTTTAAGCTCCTTTCTTTGTGATTTGTTTTTTGTCGTTCCTATTGACTATTGCCGCGATCTGATTGGCTGCTTCCAACTCACCCTGCTTTTCGGAACTTGTCGGTTTCTATGCATTGTTTGCATTGACGTCTCATCAGCAGCCATTACTCCGTACCACGCTCTTGTGCCCGTATATCTTCTACGGCATACATTTGTCACATTCGAATTTCTTCTTCTCGGCAAGGATTTCCCAAGCAGAAGATATTCGATGGTACGAAATGTATGCTGCGCAAGGTACGGGCACAAGAGCGTGGTACGGAGGGACGGCGGTTGGTACGGTGCCAGGTGACGCCACGTGCAAGGTGTGTATACAACTGAACGCCACGGAAACAACGCAAAACGCTTTGATACGCCACAATTATTTTCTTAAAAAGAACGGTGTTACGGATAAGCCAACGAGGATATCTCTAATTGTTGGCGCATGTAATTATATGTTTGTTTCCGGCATTGAATCGCGGGAATCATCAGGAAGGAGCAACAACTGTCCACATGCACTCTAAGAAATGCCGAGCGACTTGTCTTCAACAAAACACTCGGGTAAATCACGCTGAGCCCCCGCAGCGTGATTCGCTGCGGGGGCTCAGCGAATCACGAGGCGGATAGTATGGTTTGGCACATTAAAAAAAGAAAAGTGCGCTAGGGCACTGAACATGGTGGTACATCATAATCACTACCATGTTTTTTTTTTTTGTTTTTTTTTACGCTTTGGGCGTGATAACGTGCACCTCTAATCTAACAAGCTAAGAACAGGCACGAATTTTGAAAATCCGGTGGCATCTTTTTTTACTGCACGAAATTCGAAATGCACCGGTGCCTTCTCTGAGCTAGGGACTGCTTTCAGTCGTTCAAGGTAAGGTATAGCGCTACAAATTCCAAATGTTGTTCATAGCAGTCTTAAAAAAAAAAAAGAAGTGCATAGAGACATTTGTTTAGACCTTATTTTTCTGATTTTGTGTGTTTTAAAACCATGCCAAGGTTCTATACGTCTTCAGTATTTCAAGTAAACGTTTCGTACATCTTAGAGTTAAACAGATGATCCTTGACGAAGTCTTTCCGTAGATTGTGGCGATTGGATCTCTTAAGTGCGTTGCGAGAGTGTAGTTGATCCACATCTTGCATGAAGTGCAGAGGAACGTACGCAGGGCGACGAAAAAAGTTCAGCGGAGAAACGCTCACCGGAGATGAGCTCACCGGAGAAAAGCTTACCGGAGAGAAGCTCACCGCAGAACCATCATTTGCAGAAAGATGGTTACCGACAGATCTGGAGAAAGGCTCACCTACGAATCTGTGAACCGGGCCTTTTCACTCAACTGAAGTAATTGACTCAACTCAGGTATTGGGCAGGAGATCGAACTATTGGGGGCGCTCTAACCCATTTGTTTCCCCACACATCGGTGTTCACTCAACACAAGGCCTGTGCACATGCCCACAGGCCTCATGGGCATGTCCATGCCATCTTCTACAATAGAACGTGGAGCACAGCGTAATGTAAAAAATACAAACAATCGACGAAGTGATATTAAGTGCCGGATCTACCCCGAAAGCAGTCGTCAGAGATTGCGAGCTTGACCCACTTCGGCTTTTGTGCTGAGCTGAGCACAATGCATGCTGCATTGTTCACGCAGGCCGAAGTGGTAACAAAAAAGCCCCTCCTCCCCCTCACCGGAGAACACGAACTGCAGCCGAACGCTGACGCCGCGTTCGGTTATGTCGGCCGAGCGCTGAGTCATTGTATTTGTTGTCCCCATCCGTGTAGTTCTTAAGTTAACCGCTTGGGGCGTCACGGTCAGTCCTCCCCAATGTTTGGATGTCATGTGTGCATGAGTTAATTCCAGCCGATAAATATACATTTTTAATGAATACAATAAATCCCTTGGGTGACACGACAAAAAAAAATTAAGTATTCCTATCGAACGGCAAATGAAGGATTGCCTGGAAAAATGAAACATGAGTAGTAGGCCGCACAGCATGAGTTGTTCCTGAATCGTTCTAGATTAAATTACCTTATACGTAGTAGCCACCAATAAACAAATAAATAGAATAAATGAAAGTCTCAACTCTTAATATTTCACGATTTGTTTAGGAAGGTATGCTCTTTCGGTATTAAGTTGTTTCGATCGGCAAAATCAAGATATTTGATATTTTATCCATCCAGGTCTCGCCAGAATTTAATATGGAAAGAGTCAGACGAAAACAGTCTACATGAAAGCGGAGCCCCGAGAGCTGAAACAGAGCTCGCTCTTTGAAGTTTCTGCTTGGGACGTACGGGCATGTAGATTTTTTACTGCTCTAAAATGTTCCATCTGATCCTAGAATGTGAAACTCAACTCTTCTCAACATAAAATAAATATTGAATCGATAACGACCACCTCGCATAAAAATTGTAGTTAAAGCAAGCTTTTCTCCGTTACCGTCCAAGCATTTTCTCCGCACCCCCGCAAAAGTAGGCGAGCTTTTTTCCGATGATGTTCACTCTGGCGAGCTTATTCCCGGTAAGTTTTCTCCGGTAAGCCTTTTCTACGGGATTCAGCAACGCTATACTCTGCTTCACACTAAGTAGTAGCGTAGCCAACCTTACAATCTGATAGGGTTAATCAAGCGGCTCTCAAGGTGCACCGTCATGGTTGTCGTCTTTGTGCGTTTGCTATTTCAATTAACTACGTTAAAAAAATTGTATCCCCAATTTTCCTGTAAATAGAGAGTTTTACGTAGACCGCGTTTCAAACTCCGCTAAGCCCTCCACAACAAAGAAGTTGCTTTAGCGCCTGCGCGCTAATGGCTTTGACTACGAATTCCGGGTATTGTACCGGGTTGGCGCAGGGCGTTGCAGGATGGCGGAAATCATCTACGGAAACTCCCTAGTGCGCTGTTACGAGGAATCAGGGATGGGCAAAATACATGCAAATATGTATCGAAAAACAAATACAAAATACTTTGTCAAAAATTATTTTATTACAAATTTAATTACATTTCCAAAAAAGCATTTAAGTACAAGATACAAATACAACCAAATGTAATTGTTCTCCTCCAAATACTTTTCCCAATACATTCCTCAAAATCTGCGTCAGCGACATGAGGGCACCTGCAACGGGTTTCTGGGTATCTCATTTTAATTTTGCATCGCACACTCGGGAGTTAGTGCGCGAGGCTCTAGTAGCGTAATAGAAATATAATCACAAAAAACTGTATTCAGCTTGGACGTAATAGGTAAAAAAAAAATACAGAGCTTCAAGCATTTTTTGTTTTGTCGATTACATTTCGGTATAGACCAACAAAGAACCGAGACGACCAAGACGTACGCGCAGCACTATAGCTAGAGATTTTTTTATTGTTGCAACCCGCACCAGTTACGACAATCTGGACGACCCGCGCATTTAGAATGTTCCAGGCAAAAATATGTATGGAAATAAGGCTGGAAAGTATCACAATGTGCGGGGTGTATGCTCTGCTGAGGCACCTATCATGTTGGTGTCGGAGTGCGTCATCCCACCGCTGCCACCAATTGTGAAGACTCTGGTTAGGAGCTGCACACACACCATCGTCGGGGCCCGACGTCGAGGAGAGGCTTGCTCTAGGAGGAGCAGCAGCCGAGTTGTGAGACAACTCCTCCAAGAGTGCCAGCATGATGAAATCGTTTGATCTCTCCTCGTCAGAATCCACTCGAACAGGGGAGCAAAGAATAGTTCATGCTAATCGCCTTAAGCGATATGGTGCCGGAGGCGGTGACCGGGGTGACATTGGGCCTTTTCAAGGGCTGGGCATGCCGAATGATGTTGGGACTCCTACTGCCATGCCCGCCGTTCCAAATCCACCCGGCCCGTGTCCAGCGGATGAGAACAGAGTGGATTCTGACGAGGAGAGATCAAACGATTTCATCATGCTGGCACTCTTGGAGGAGTTGTCTCACAACTCGGCTGCTGCTCCTTCTAGAGCACGCCAACCCGCGTGGGGACACCGCTATACTTTGAGAAAATACGGACCAGTTGATCGACCTTAATGGACGCACGTTCGAGAAACCTGCGCGGCCCACCGGGTGGTCTGTAATCTGCGGGAACTTTCTTAGTGTGCTCCTTATTGTTTTGGGTTCAATGTGTTGTCCCGTTCTGTTCACTGTTCTTAGCGACCACTTGATGGTGTATTCTGGGCACTTTACCCAGTGTTTCGATAGGTATGCCGTAGTGATTTCATTACGGTCTGAAAACTAAGTGTCTTTATGAACCTGAACATGAACATCCCTTTAAGTTTTGTCAGGTGAATTTTGTGTAAGAGAAAATTCCTTTTTCTGTGTGTGTGTGGGCGACTGTGACGGTGTGTATTCCCGACTCATTTGGTGCTATGCGTGCGGGCACGTGTGTGTGTGCATGTGTGTGTGTGTCCCACCGGTAGCGTTCGCACCGGATTACGAAGAATCCTCGCCTCGCGGGCAGCGAAAAAAAAAAGAGTACAAAGAAGGGCAGCAAAAAAGGGCGATTAGCCATCGCAAGCCTTCGGACGGAAAAAGTCTTAGCAGTTGTCTGTGCCGCGAGCTCAAGCCGAGTTTAGATAAAGTTATATGTGCCGGAACTAGAGCTGGGTACTGTCTCTCCTCGACGTAGGGCGCCGACGATGGTGTGTGTGCAGCTCCTAAACCAGAGTCTTCACAACGAGTTGTCACAGGCACTTATTCAGCCAGTCTGCCTGTGAACGTCGATTTCGTCACTATTCTTGCCCCTGGACTAGCACCGTAATCACAAAGTCACTAAAGGCTTGGGCTTGATTGAGAGACACTGCATTCGGTGCAGAACATAGTTTTCTTCCTGCTCTGGACAGTGCCTTTAAAATAAAGCCGGAGGAGAAAAAGAAAAAAGCCCCAAGGCCGAATAAAGGATGAAGACAATATCTTACAACCACATGCCTAAAAACAAGAATTTTAACTTTGGCAATAACATTTATTTAACGTAATAGTGGCAAGTGCACCATTAAAGTGGAGACCTTCTCAGCGCAGTGTAATTTTGGTGCGTGCTAATCTGTGAAATTTCGACTAGTACGACTTCAGCAGCAGAAGCTTTTCGAACAAAGTGTCGCTAAGACGACGCGTGTTGGGGCACAGAATAAGGCTGCCAAGGGAAAATAGGCGCTCTAGCGAACTGCCGCAGGACTGGTGTATGAAGAGAGGAAGAGTTTCTCGGTTTGTTGTTGCCGTTGGAGTTGAGATGAAGAAAGAGCAGCTTTGGACACGTTTTAGGATGAGCAAAATGAGTCGTGATAATAAATTTGAGGGATGTATTTTCGCCCACAAAATTGTTTTGAATTACAATTGTATTTGAAATACCCACGTTTTAGTATTTAAATACACACGTCAAATACCTTACCGAATTTGTAATAAATACAAATGCAAAATACACAAAGTATTTGAAATACGTATTTCAAATACTTGTATTTGAAATATTGCCCATCCCTGCGTGGAATGTTCTTTGTTTAGCGCTAAGAACGCCCTGGCATTTCTTCTCGAGCTGTGCCTCCAAGTCTCGCCACTCCTCTTGACCCCATTCACTGAATTTATGTGTTGGTCGAGTGACGTCAGTTTTCCCGCTGAATCTAGCGGGGAAACTGAATTGACGTTCAGGTCACTTGACGTCAATTTTTTAGCCAAGTCTAGCGGGAAACTGAGCTTGTGCATAGGTCGCGTGACCATGTCACGTGACGTCAATTCAGCGCTAAATTTAGCGGGGAAAGTAAACTTGTGTATGGGTCATGTGACACGAAGCCATGTGACGTCATTTTCTCAGCTAAACTGACCGGAGAAATTCGCGGTCGCGCTTTTTGAGGCTTCAACCCACCTGAAAGCGTAACCTATAAACTTTTCACGTGAAAAAAAGCAAAAAACAAAGCGCAGGGTTACGACGCATGCACCGTTTGTGATAGGTTCAGCCAATCATAATAAGCGCACAAAGACGCCGAACGCCGCGAGGACGACTGTTTTGCGCCGCTTGATTGTTTCCTGCATCGTATCCTAGCGTCGGATACGTTCAGCGTTAGTGTAAAATGAATCATATAGTCTCAGTTCTAGTATAAGTATATGCATGCAAATTCTTCAAGCTATATTTAGAACCAGGGGGAGTTTTCTCGCTATTACCTCGTGATGACCTGAACTTTTTTTTTTTAATATAAAATCTTTATATGTGTTTGTTTCTTCATATCTAAGTTATATCAAACGTGACTACCGACAGCAGTTACTTAAACAAACACTAGGCGGGCACGTTCATAAAGGATTTCTTTAAACTTGTCTGACAATTGTAATAGCCTAGAATCTCCGACAGCTTTTTTTTCAGACTCTCGATTGTTCGTACAATGTGCCGACACTGTATAGCCGCGTTTTATACATTTTTGAACATTGTTGACTGAGGTTTGGCGAGTGGAGCGTTATAAACGTGGAGATATCATAAATTGCGACAATAGTCATCAATTCTGGAAACAATCGAGGGTAAAGTTTGCGCTCGGATATTCCTGAGCTTCAAATTACATGGCTATGTAAACCAAACAATGCCCCCCCCCCCCCCTCCCAAAAAAAAAAAAGTTTACAGTGTTTTTTTTTTAGCGCAAAATTAAACTACGCCTCACCGAAGCCCTCAATCTTGGCCCAAATGTGTACCCCTAGCTTTCCGAACCGGATTCAAAAGTTTCACAACTTACCGTTATCTTTTTTCAAGGTTATAAGCGATTTTCTGACATTTCCAATGAGATAACGGCGGCTGATGGGCACAGTCGAATACACGGAGCCGAATGACGCCAGTTACCAAAAACGGGCGTAAACGTGCCCCATTTTCCAATTGATTTCTTTACAATATCACCCTCAACCTTTCACTGAGACACCGGTTATAGTTCTGAAACTTTGGCATTTGGTTTGGGCCACTAGAGCTACATTTAAACGGAGAATGAGCGTCCAGCAAAACGTACTTTATTTTTGCAAAAAAAAAGTTACCTATTCTTTTCTTTTTTTTTTTTGGGGGGGGGGGGGGGAGACGTTGTATTGTGTTAAACTATAAGCACAACCTTAGTTGACGCTACGATCATGGAGCCAATTAATCAGCACCAAAAGTGTATCGCCGCGAAACTCATCGTCCTGGTGCGTTTTCTATCACCGACTAACCAATCACTCACATAGAAAATCCGAAAGAACCGTGCGTTTTTTTTCTTTTCTCTTTGCGCGTGATTGGTTTGGCCAGTGATAGCAAATCCACGAAGACAATGAGCGCCGTGATGATGCCCTTTTGACTCATCACGACTGGCCCATCAGATCGTAGCGTCGGCAGCGTTTGGGCTTAAGGCTAACCTTAGTATAACCTATGCAACTTAGATGACCAGCGTCATGACACCATTTGCACGATGGCTCGCCACCACCTTGGAATTCAGATGTGAAAACTTACCGTTTTCCCGTTGAATTATGTAGATCGAGATGGCCAGCAGCTTTGTTTTGAACGCAATCGCAGTCGGTGGTGCACTCGGTCAATCTAGACCTGGTGACGTGTCTCGCAGAATAGTAAACTATGCTCAGAAGAACAATGGCAACGAAGACCACCGCCCCGAAATATCGGGCGTACCGCAACGATGCACTCATAGCTTACCCGATTCCACACAATGCATTCACGGATCTACGACGCGGGCGCCATTCTTTTTTCCTGCGGGCACGGGGGCAGTCCGACGGCTAGACAGTATAGAAACCTGAAACGTAGAAAGGTGAGATATTTTGCGGTATCCTTTCGCGGTGTAGGCGGCGGGCAGTCAGCCATCGCTTACTCCCTCGCCGCGTTCACTCGGCAAACTCTGCACGCGACGGTATCATTATTCAAAGCAGAACATTGGAGCGTATCGGGCTGCCGTCTATCTTATCGCCGCCTTTCAGAAATGGCAGAGAGCACCTGATAAAGACACGACGTGGTACTACTTTGCACCCGGGACGACGGCCTTGGTGTCAGATGAAAGGTAGAGGAAGACACGAGAGCACGCGGGAACGTCAGAATGTCGAGCTCTGGTTGTACCAATAGTTGGTAGTCCTAAAACTAGCTGTCTTTGTTTCCACTGCACTCGTCGAACAGGTAAGAACGCGGGACTCGAGTGTGTGGCGTTTGGCCCTCGCATTCAAGCATGTTCGACGACTGCAGTGAAAGGGAGCTAGCTTTAGGCTTACCCACTAACCATTCAAATCAGAGCTCGCGTTCTGACGTCCCTGAGCGCTTTCGTCTCCTCTCCTCCCTCAATTTCGCTGCGCTTGATTTCTTCAAGAGGAAATATAATAAAAACGTTCGGGCGTTCAATTCTGAACGCAGAAGAATCGAAGGACGACACGGCCGGTCCCCGACTCAACGAACAAAGCGCATTCCGTGTCCAGCGCGCAGACCTATTTTTAGACACAAACTCTCTACTTGCATAGCCTCCTATATACTGACAAAGTCTGGCAGATCGCCACGAGAAACCTGCCGCCGAAATGGAAAAGGTGGAGCGGCAGACAGCGGATGAGAGGAGAACCACGTGACTGGCGCCCCGCTGCGGCGAGCGGACGAAACGCACTTCTTCCGAGCGAACAAGTGTGTTTCGAATCTTCGCCGCTGCAAAAAAGCTGTGCGCTGATGTCCAGGGCCGGTTTGCTCATCTTGCGGCTCCGGCCGCGGCCGCGGCCAAGAGGGATTTTTACGTCACGTGACCAGCTCCATAGGGACAAGGAAGTACCTAGCGTCCCTGCCTAATGGCGGAGAGACCCGCATCGTTTCAAGCACAAAAGCCTAATATCGCTCGCAAAAACTGATTGCAGGGACTTGCAACTGGAGTCCAATTGACCGCCCCTTTATACTGTAGGAGCGGCAGGTATACGGCCAGGGAGGGTAAATAGGAGCCAAAATAAAGAAAAAACCACACGAGGTAAAAGCGGTAGCACTAAATTTATATACCTCCGCCGGCGCGTGCGTCCCGCGCCGTCTGCTATGGTCGAGAGGTTAAAGCGCCGGTACTTGTTGTCCCGGCGTGAAAGTTCCGGTTTCAAATCGCGCTAGGGACTTTTTTTTTTCTTTTTTAATTTTTCACGTGTGTTACTTTTTAACTGTGATCCTTTTCAGGAAATCATCCACTTGCGCTACTGCGCCTTATACGGTTTTTACTGTTAGTCCCACCTGTTCAATCGAAACACGGGAAGAAAAAAAAGATCATCGAAAGTTAACGCGCTAATACAATCATTTCATAATGTTCATTAAAAGGAAACCAAGGTAACAGCATCGGTACTGCTTTCACACAAACGGAGTCGAAACAAGCATCCTTTCCTCAGCAACTACAATTTTATCTGTATTTAAATAACGCTCTTGCTACGATTCCTTTCGATAACAAGAGACGCCTATTTAGGACTAATAAAAACTGCATTTGGGACAATTAAGAAGAAACAAACAAAAAAAAAGCAAAAAGCATAAAAAAAGACTAGCAACTGTAGATACATTGATTGAGCGAAATCCTACAGGCAAGGCAGCAAGTCAAACGTCTGAGAAAGTAGTAAAACCGAAATAAAAGAGATCATACTTTTACTTGCATGGAATGTGATAAAAAGTATATTTATACTCTTTACATTTTGTTGTGGCAATCGTTTTGTAATATTAACACATTACGTGTTGAATTTAGTTAGATTAGCAGACGATCACGACCGAATGCAAAAATGAATCAAGTGTCGACATCGCAAACCCTCTCTCTAATGCAAACACCTAAAATGGCTTTGAAAGAACAAATGGAATTCATTATAATTAATTACATTTATGATCCAAAGTCATTTTAGGTCCCTCTCTCTAATTCAAACACCTAAAATGACTTAGGATCAACATATGGAATTAATTATAATTAATTTCATTTCTTGATCCAAAATCATTTTAGGGGTTTGCATTAGAGAGAGGGTTTGCGATGTCGACGCCTTATTCATTTTTGCATTCGGTCGTGATCGTCTGCTATGCTAACTAAAATTCAACAAGTAATGTGTTAATATTACAAAACGATTGCCACAACAAAATTTAAAGAGTTTAAATATACTTTTTATCACATTACATGCAAGTAAAAGTATGATCTCTTTTGTTTCGGGTTTACTACTTTCTCAGACGTTTGACCTGCTGCCTTGACTGTAGGATTTCGCTCAATCAATGTATCCACCGCTGCTAGTCTTTTTTTTTTTTTGTTGCGTGTTTTTTAAAGTTTTTTTTTTAATTGTCACAACTGCAGTTTTTATTAGTCCTAAATAGGCGTCTCTTGTTATAGAAAGTAATCGTAGCAAGAGCATTATTTAAAAACAGATAAAATTGCAGTTGCTGAGGAAAGGATGCATGTTTCGGCTCCGTTTGTGTGAAAGCCATACCGATGCTGTTACATTCGTTTCCTTTTAATGAAAATTATGAAATGATTGTATTAGCGCGTGAACTTGCGTTGATCTTTTTTTTTTTTTTCCCCGGTGTTTTGATTGAACAGGTGGGTCTAACAGTTAAAACCGTGTAAGGCGCAGTATTGCAAGTGGATGATTTCCTAAAAAGGATCACAGCTAAAAAATAAGACACGCAAAAAATTTAAAAAAAAAAAAGTCCCTAGAGCGATTTGAACCCGGAACTTTCACGCCTCGACGACAAGTACCGGCGCTTTAACCTCTCGACCATAGCAGACAGCGCGAGACGCACGCGCCGGCGGAGGTATATAAATTTACTGCTACCGCTTTTACGTCGTGTGGTTTTTTTTTTATTTTGGCTCGTATTTACCCTCCCTGGCCGTAACTTTACCTGCCGCTCCTACAGTATAAAGCGGCGATCAATTGGACTCCAGTTGCAAGTCCCTGCAATCAGTTTTTGCGAGCGACATTAGGCTTTTGTGCTTGAAGCGATGCGGATCTCTCCGCCATTAGGCAGGGAGGCTAGGTACTTCTTTGTCCCCATGGAGCTGGTTACGTGACGTAAAAATCCCTCTTGGCCGCGGCCGCGGCCGCAGCCGCAAGATAAGCAAACCGGCCCAGGTTCCCCGAAAAATGGCTCGTTGATGCTTTGTGCTAGCAGATCCTTGCGCTCTAAATCTGCAACCGGGCACTATATGACTATGTCGTCGAACTGCCAGGCTTTGTGAGTTTACTACTTGATACTCGAGCACGTGAGCTTCCCCGCGTGTGTGCCTCGTTTCAGCCACGCAGTCAGCGATCGTATTGTCTGTTCCGGCAGCGGAAAAAAGCTCACCGGAGAAAAGTTCACCAAAAATCGTAATCTGCGAAGAAAACCTTAACGGCATTTTTACGAATGCAGAATAAAGCTCACAAACTAATCTGTGAACCGAGCCTTCACTAACTGAAATACATTAATTCAACATTAATTCACCACTTGCGTTGCACGATGAAAATAAAGTGTTCCTATTGAACGGTAAATAGACGATTGCCTTGGAAAAAAATATCCAACTTGAGTTGCTCCTGGATTGTTATATGGTAAATTACTTTTTATAATGCGTCCTAGAGTTAATAAATAAATTAAATTAATACATATTTATATTTCATACGTATTTAAGAAGGTTTACACTTGAAGAGCTAAGCTATTTCAATAGTTTCTACAACCGAGCTACTTCAGAATTATATAGGGCACAAGTCAGGAGAAAACATAACAGATGAAAGCGAAACAAGGGCTAAATCAGAGCTCCCATCCAAATGTCTGTGTGTAGCTGTAAGCGCGTGTAGCTGTTTAGCTGCTCTAAAATGTTACGTTCGATCCAGAACCGAATCTTTCACTTCATCAATTAAACACTGAATTATTAATGACCACCTTGTATAAAAGTTCCATTCAAGGTGAGCTTTTCTTTGTGTGAGTCGAAAAACTAGTGAGCTTTTCTCCGGCCCCACGCAAGAGTGGGGGAGGTTTCTCTGGGATTTTGTCTGTTTTTGTACGTCCTGTGTAACACACTTCCCTCTTTTAAAGAAAGAAAAATTTAATCCGGACTCGGAAAGCGTTCAGGAAAAACCGCGCATCTCCCACATCTAGTGTGTCCGTCAGTTTGCTCGTGGTATAACACACCGACTTCTCTACTTGTAGGCATGTCATCCGTATCATCAACCGTACGTAAAGGCTGCCTTAGAAGTGGAACTAGGTGTGTGCGGTTTCTTTCCACTGACTCGTCTCTGCATCAAACCAGTAGAATTTGGGCTCCACTGCTTGAACGCTGACGGCGCCTTGGCGTTGAAAGTCAACCAGCCAAACGGCAGTGTTATCGTCCAGTAGGGGCAGGTCTCCTACGGATCCTTCAGTTTATCCAAGGACCCTTTGATTATTTTAACCGCTGCTTCTGCGAGCCCGTTGCTCTGAGTGTGGCGAGGACTGAGGACTCGAGGTCAAAGGGCGGAAGTTATGCTGCTGTGCGAACTTCGCCAACTCGGAATGAGAGGTCTTAGAAAACTGCGGCCAGTTATCCGAGATGACCAGTTCTGGAATGCCATGTCTTGAAAAAAGAGACTTGCATAGGTTCACTACTGCTGCTCCAGTAAGGCTGCTGAGGAGGACTAGCTGGGGATAACGCGAGTTATAGTCGACTACTATCAGCCATCATTCAGCGTCGAGGAAAAATAGGTCCATCAGAACTTGTTGCCACGATCTTTCGGGTAACTCCGATGTCTTGAGTTGCATTTGTCTGGTCTTACTGTGTTTCAGTTAGATGTGGCCCTTCTTCACGAGCTTATCGATGTTTGAGCTGATGTGCGGCCACCATATGGAACTCCTTGCTCTTTCACGGCGCTTTTCAATACCTTAATGTCCATGAAGCTGATTAAGTATCGACTTTTGAAATCGCACAGGAATGACAATCCCAG